CTGGAAGAATTTTTGAACTTCCTCTTCCAAGAAGAGAGGCAGATGGGGGCCAAGAATCACAAAATTGTGCTCTTCATTGATCAGTATGTTGCTAAAGGAAACTAATGGACTGTGAAATTTAAGTTATATTATTGGCACCAAACTGTACCAGTCCATTCAGTCAAGTGTCATTATAGGAAGCAATTAATAAGAAAATCTGTAGAAATGATAGATGGAGGGATGCTTGAAGATGCTTCAAAAATGAACATCCTTCAAGCATTGCATTTTGTCACTGAAGCTTGGAGACAAACATCTCTTGAAACAATGCAGAATTGTTTAAAAAAATGTGGGTTTTTAATTGAAGGTGAAATGGAAAAAATTTGAATTTATTTCAATGTTAACAGCAAATGAAAAGCAAGACTCATTGAAGGCAAATGACTGTGACTTCCAAGATTATGTGATTGTGGACAATGATTTAACAACTTGTGGCATTCGGTCTGTTGATCAGAAACTAGAAGAACAAGTATCTACTGTTAACGGGAAGGAATGTCTGAAGTTGCTGAGGGAGACGAGGAAAAGGTTACCTTCATAGAATCTCGTAGAGGACTTGACACTGCTTAAAAATATCTTCTGCAATTTAATGAAGAAAGTGTGTTGGTTTCATGCAATGACATAGAAAACAAACTCTATAATGTACACAAATGCTCAAAAACGAGACGCAAATGTCAATTTTATACTGGGTAAAGAAGTGTTAGTGTGCAGTTTAAAATATTTACTTTTCTAATGGTCATCTCTTTTCAATTGAAGTTTTAATGTATTATTTATTTATTTTACAACTACAATATGTTTTGGAACAAAATCTGTGCAAAAGGATAATTTCCTTAATTTACACTTTTTTGACCAGTCCCTAGAGTGGCGTAAAATATGGGTTTCACTGTAGTTGAATAATTAAAAGAAAGAAGAAAAAAGTAAGTAATTTTTAAAAACTAGACATTTTTGCTCCCAAAATATGTAGAAGGTAAATAAACTGCAGGTTTATTTATCTTGATATTGGTAACAAAATAGGCACACCTCTGGCTCTATGCTCAAGGACTGTCCATAAATAAAGTAACACAAATTTAGAGTA